GCCGCAAACGTGTCCTCTACGCTCATTTTGTAGCAATGTTGGGCTTCCCATGGCGTGAATATACAAGAATAGCTGAATGCAAATCGGCCCAGTCATCTCGTGCCAAACTCCCACGTACCACCTATCAGTATGGCCGCTTCCATCACACTGTGAACAGAGCTGTCGTTTCCGCCTGATCGGAGCTGCTTTGGAGCTGCTGTAAGCTCTATATGGAATGGTGGTGTGCCCATGCAACCGGATCGTCATTTAACTCCCAGCCAAATTAAGAACGGAGAGCTAGCCGGAACGTGCAGCTATGATGATGTGGATGGCCGTTCTGTGATTCTCCTGGACTGGTCAGGTTACCGATCAACAGCAGAGTACGCTCTCTCTCTCTCTCTCTCTCTCTCTCTCTCTCTCTCTCTCTCCTCTCTCTCTCTCTCTCCTCTCTCTCTCTCTCTCTCTCTCTCTCCTCTCTCTCTCTCTCTCTCTCTCTCTTCTCTCTCTCTCTTCTCTCTCTCTCTCTCTCTCTCTGCTCTCTCTCTCTCTCTCTCTCTCTCTCTCTCTCTCTCTCTCTCTCTCTCTCTCTCTCTCTCTCTCTCTCTCTCTCTCTCTCTCTCTCTCTCTCTCTCTCTCTCTCTCTCTCTCTCTTCTCCTCTCTCTCTCTCTCTCTCTCTCTCTCTCTCTCTCTCTCTCTCTCTCTCTCTCTCTCTCTCTCTCTCTCTCTCTCTCTCTCTCTCTCTCTCCTCTCTCTCTCTCTCTCTCTCTCTCTCTCTCTCTCTCTCTCTCTCTCTCTTTCTTGATTTTAGGTGTGTCAGCTTGTCATCCTTCTCCGTCGAGCAGTGCTGCACGTTACTGATGTCCAATTAACAGGCTTGATTGCTTTAGGCCTCGTACACCCGGCTTCTTCTCCGGACCCAACATATCTCGGATGTTGCAGCCGCTGGGAAAGCATGCAGCGAAGCTCAACTATGACCTGCAAACATCATTTATCATGTCGTACACCGGCATTCTTTCTCGAAGCTCTGGGAAAACCATTTGCTATTTTTTAAAATTCGACAGCGCGCATTACAGACCGCAGGCCGGGGTCACACGACCACTGACGAGGTGTTCTCATCACTAAGACGTCATCGTGTGTCAACTGTTGAACACGTTCTACAACGTAGTGCACATTTAGCCACGGCTCCCTGACTAAAAAGCGTCAATGTGACCTTTCCGTTGCGACGCTGTGAAGGTAGGCATCAGCAATCATCAATGATTATCAAAGCTACTTGTCAATGATTGAGTATTCTGTCACCAGACTATCTCTTCAAACTATCTCCACCTGTCACCACAGCGCGACCAACACGCACCGATTTTCTAGACCTGCGCCTGACTGGGGTGAAGCCACCTCACGGACGCTCGAGGTGGCACGAGCGGCGCGTGTCGCTGGACGTGCCGTTCAGCTCCGCCTCGTGCGCCAGCCCCAGCCGAGCGGCCGGCAGGACGAGGGGCGCCGCGGCCGCCTCACGCCGCAGAGCCAGCGGCGCACCCGTCCTTCCCAGTCCCGGGGGGGGGGGGGGGCGGCCGCGGATGTAGCAAGTGCCGCCCCTCGTCCTTGTCTAGATGCATCACAAGCTACTCTCCTACAGCTACGACCCACGCGTGTTACAACGTGCAACGCTTGCTTCTTAACGCCACCATCAACGCCAAGAGCGCTACGCTCCCACCGGCCTTTGTCACTGCTTCCGTGTCATTGCCTTCGTGAGGCACCGGGCACACCTGTGAGCAGAGCTGTAGCCCGACAGCTGTACGGTGGCGACACGGCGGGTCCCCAGAACGGCCTCCAGCTCGTGCACCTGCTGCACGGGCCGACCGCGGTGGCACCTGCTACGCCTCGTTATCGCCGCCACCTTTCGCCCCGTATGTAAATGTGAAGCGCAGTAGTCTGGATGGACCGCGCTGAGTCACCTCGGCGCAGGCCCCTCCGGAGATGCAGAGGTGGCCATGCTAGTCAGAAGTGTTGCGCTGGTGCGGGCATGGCGTTTAGCCACGAGGACAAGGATCGCGGAAATGTTGCACCTCCCCATGTCTGTTCTGATGCACGAAGCAAGAATCCCTGTCAGGTTTGACAGAGAGGTTTGACAGGGACTTGTCAACCACCCCACAAATGTCAGCTGATGAGGCGCGGTATCGTATCAGGCAGAACCTCAAAGGCCAGGGTACACATTGCATGACAGCCTCTTTTGCGAAGGCGGTATCTGCTTACATGGTGGTCCCCGACGTGCCTTACAAGCATGGAATGCTCACTGCATGACCCACCTTTGTAAAAGCGCTTTCAATTCAAGCGGAGGGCTGCAACGCCATGCATTTTAACCACGCGTCATGCCGTGACTAGAGGCTTGGTGTGGCGTTGTCTCGTTTGTTTCCGGGCCAGCCCAGTCCAGCACTGCAGCACGGCGAGTGTTCTTCACTCGCAGCCGACCCTTCGGCTCCCGCGGGGGGGGGGACCCCGACCCCACCCAGCCCCGAGCCCTGCGACCCGGGCCGGGTCGTTTCGTCAGATCCCATCAGATTGAGCTCAGACTGCTTCAGGCAGCTGCTGTCGCTTATCAGCTGACCGGCTGTGGTTGACCCAGGCGAGCTAGATTTGTGCGGATGCGGCCCTCGTCAGCTCGCTGGCGGCCCACTGGTCGCGGTCCCGATCTCTGATGAGGGCGTGGCTACGGGCGGTGGCACGCAGCTCCCAAATGGTTTGTGGCCTGCAACCTATCGCATTCTTAGCATGCTTTAGTCCTCCGTATATGGCGTAGGAGATTACATCCCCATACTTGGCGCCGCCGTCCAATATTGTCAAAAGAGGTATGTGATGATCATCATAGAGGCCTGTGATGATCATCAGCCCTACCAAAAACGAGGCGCTGCTCGCGTAGTTCGGCCGAGGCTCGCCGTCGGGCCTCTGTTGCCTTGCTTGCAGGGATGCAAGGAAGATAATCGTTAGAAAGACAGTATACGATATGGCTCCTCTGGAATTCCCAGTCGTAACTCCGGTTAATGTGCGTGCTTTCAGCGCCGGCTGGTGTTGGCGCGGGTGTTTGTTCAGCATTGCCAGGGATGTGCGATAAAGTATCCGATTCGAAGTTAAACTGATGCGTGAATACGCCGGTCCCCGATGCGATTAGCATCGGCCTCCCGCCACGCAGCAGACAAATAATGGCGTTGCGAACGACGATTGCAGGTGAGCAAACATGCGAGGAGGCAGGTCTTCCGCATAAACAATCGCGCTACGTCCGTTTCGCAATGAATGGGATGCACGGGGCGGGGATACGTTTACGGTTTGCAGGCGACCGCAGCTCGTATTGAACCACCTCTCTGATATCGCAGCTGGGGCCTCCGCTGCGTACCAAGGAGATAGGCCGAGCCCGCGTGTGTCCGGCGCAGAGTTACGGCGCCCGGGCGGGCTGGACGTTGGCCGAGCGTCACCAGCAGCCGTATCATGCAGGCTCACCTAGGGTGTCAACGTCTGACACAGCTCGCTGTCAGTACAGTGTCTGGGCACAGCTCGTTGTCAGTAGTGTCTGACGCGGGCCCAGGATGCCCGCATGACCTCGCCATGGCTGTGGGGACGGCCGGCCCCCGCCCCCCCCCCCCCCCCCACACACATGGTCCCACGCCACGTCACGGTCACAGTCCCGGCCGGAGCATCGGCCGAATCACAATGGAGCCGGCTGAGGGCCGCCAAGCCTTCCGCGCCAACTTCGCAGCGCGGGTGCCTGCCACGCAAGCTCACGCATTTGCTATTATAGGTCTCACAGCGCGCGGCGGCGATGTACGGTTACTATCAGGAACGTTGAAGTGATGCATCGCGCCGCCGGCTGGTGGGAGCACACAAAGGGTAATGCACGGCTTACGCACTCGAAGGAGTGATTTATGCGGCAATTTCCACGTTTGCCCGGGGAGTCGGCCTGAGCGGTCCTGGTCCCGCGCACGCTGCGCTTCGGTTGTGTGGGAGCGCTTCGCTTGGGTGATCTTGTAGTGAGGCACTGGGGGTGCAGACACTGCGGATCGCTGATGACCGCGATCATGACATTTGTTGGCCAGTGATCTCTGATGGTACACTTTTATTTGCCAACTGCTGCATGTCCCACGTCGCACACTGTGTAGCGTTTGCTCACGGGTAATGCTCTTCAAAACCAGGGACTTACCGTGCAATAATGACATACCAGACTTGTGCTTGATTCGATTCAAATGCAGAACCGAATCAATATGAACGCCAGGGCTTCCCATGAATCCAGCTTAGGTGGACCCCTTGTCTACTGATATGATCCTGAATCAGATTTAATTCGATTATAGTGCTTTGTGCCAGATAAAGAAGCATTGAACCGACTAACCAGCAAGAAGTGCGCTTAGAAATTCCAAGATCTGAGTCTTGAAGGTTGCAGAAGATAGGTTATGCAGATATGTGCAAAGCATAATAATACACTTTAAGTGAGCACAACATTAGACACGTGTAAATATTTGGAATTCACTTGAAGAATGAAGCGCCAAGAGCTTGCACAAGTATTTAATGCTATGCTGAAAATTGTTGATCCCATGAATGTACGTAAAGTATTGGACGGGCGTTTGATGTTTCAGAGAACGCAATTATTTCCTTCACGTACAAAAACACAGACTGTTCTGCTTTTTTAAACTGGACTACTTGTGTAACTGGCTTTTCCTGTGGATTGCTTATTCCCTAAATAAACAATAAGTAAATGAACAGACCCCGAGAATAATGGGATAAACGCAACGTGGTGCATATCAGTTATAGATGTGCTAAAATGTTTACAACTCAGCAAGTGAATGTCACCAATATCTGAATTTCTGGTGAAGTTCGTATGTGTTTTTGTATTACATATAGGTGTTCACCCTGATACAAATCGTGTTAATTTATATTATCATTCAGACACATTTTGTGATTCGGAATAAAGAACAAGCACGTTTGTTTGAAATGTTGTTTTGGCTATTGAACTCCAGTCTATGACACACAACGTTCGTTTCAGGGGACGGTCGCAAGGTTGCCCTGAAAACCTTTGTTGGGAGCCCGCTTATCTACTCGGCAAGAACCCGTGTGACGTCATTTGGTGGCGGCAAGACCACTTGTGACGTCATTGCGCGGCTGTAAAACCACGTGTGACGTCATTTGGTGACAGCCTGACCCGGGCGCGCTGCGGTTGGTGCGCGGTGCAGTCCATGCCGAGCTTCGTCCACGGCACGCGACGCGCTCTGGAGCGGGAGCGGTGCCTTTGATCTGGCGTGTGACCCCTTCGGTGACCCGCACGGGGCGGTCGTGCTGTTCCACGGATGTGGTGACCTGCCCGTGCGAGGGGAGTCGGCATTTTGCGACGCGCGTGTCGGAGACATACCACCCAGCACACGCAAGCCTGAATATGCGCTGAATTGCGCGTACTTCGACCATCTTAGTTGTCGGTGAGTTCCACTATGCGCTCCCTCTCAAGTGCGTACCGGCATCCTGTGACACATTGCCTGGCTTACCGGACGTAGCCTTTCGATGACTAGATGGGTATATTTAGTCATGTTGTCGATTGCCCGGCTAGCGTGTAAACGGTCAATTTCAGACTGTTGATATGTATGTTGGACAGTTAATGTGCATTAGATGAATAGTGTGTGTTTGTGTGATTTACTTCTCGACCGAGCGTTCATTGGATGACTCGCGGAAGAGAACACATTGGAAGCCCCCCCCCCCCCCCCACCCACCCCTACAAAATTTGACTGCATTTTCAGATAATTTTGTGCATGTCTCGTGCATCACGCCTTTGCGCCCGCGCGTGCAAGTTCAGATTGTGTCATATGCTGCACATGTGCGCGTGTTCTTTTTATCGCTACATGCCTTCGATTCAGACGGTATTATTTTCCCGGGCTTTTGACTGGCAATGAGGCTGTTGGAGCTCCATTAAACGTGTAACTCCAATCTGGCGCCGGCGTAAATTCAGCTTCATGTTTCACAACGTGGGCGAATGATGCCGTTAAAGAAATGCCGGAAAGATTCAAGTACCCACGCACACATTACCCGAGAGATCCATTGCCGAAACGGAACTTGATCACGTGCTCAGCCACGTGGGCGGATTTAAACACGCGATCTCAGGTTAAGGCATCTGAGGGATGTGCGCAGCCTGTACCTGTTAAAGCGGCAGCGTTCAGTCGCACACCGTCCGTCTATAGGTTTCTCTATTTAAGGCCCCAGCTGAAAACGTAATAACTCAGGTTGTTGTCTGGGCCAAAAAGGAGGCGAGCCCACATAAATCGAGCCGATAACGATCCGGAGGATGACGCCTTCAGTTTGCTTCCCATAACATCCCTGCCTTTCAAGCTGTCTTTTCCATTTCAAGTTAGCTGTTTCCCCCTGTTAGTAGATGTGACACGTAACGAATGTTTGGGGACCTGATCGGCATCGCGCATTGCGCAATTAATTTTACTTATCGCCCTTGAAGGTATGCAATCGGACAAACAGGCTATTCATGACGTCACGCACAGTTGTCAGAACATTAGAATTGCTAGCAGTTTTTGGCGTACGATGGGAGCATCTCATGAAGGTAGGACAAGACCAGCACAACTCGCTGCTCGTATGATAGGCTGTACATGTATGCAAACTTATTGAATGATTGCCGAACTTTGCTTGGTCTGTATGTATTAACACGGAGGATACTAAAAGACAACAGAAGCTTGCACGCTCACAAGGCATTTCAGATTGCGTGCTTATATATCTTTTTGGCCATCTAAAACACCAAATAACCCTTGCAGGTCAAATTTTGACAGCTTCGTGCAATATCCGAACGTCTGGAAGGAAGGACAGTCGGATCTCTGCCTGTGATCCCTGTGCTGGTCATTTCAATGATGGCTCAGAGGACTTTTCATGTATGTCATGGAGGCGTCGGCATAGATCTGCGGTGACATGTTCCACGATGGTTGCTTGCTCCATAGATTGTGTGGAAATTATTACACGGTCATAACGTTGTCCTTAACCGAAAGGACCCATGGTGTGTCTGTGAAAGATTCGAATGATCTTAGGAATTCGCCTTTCAAAGCATGTTGCCTTGTATGTGGTTTACTCTCTCGACATCATTATCTGCAGCTCTTTATCTATGCAGACTATCCCATGTAGATGCTGTTGAAAATAGTCGTAGACTTTGTCTAGACATAAAGTGAAGAATTGGCGCGAAGAATTGCTTCGTTCGATCTTTGTGGATGGCAGGAGAAATGCGCTCGATCTGCCAAAGCGAATCGCCGGCATCCATCATTTCGGGCTGAGTCTTTCCAACAAACGTCGCTTATGCGCATCTTGCTCAGCATGTCCATGAATGCTCTGAGACGTCTAGAGGTTCGTACCATGCGTTGTCCCAAGAACGCTGCAGAACCAATAGCTCTTTTCGCTGAGCGAAGGGGAAAAAACTTCTGCCAGGCGGGGGCTAACCACCACGTGTCGGCCGCTACCCTCTCTCTCCCGTCCCGCGTTGGCCTCATTGCGTGGCGTGTCGAATTTAATCACTACGCTTCCACTCAGGTAACACGCCGCGAACGCCTATTTCCCTTTACGGCATCGTAAACGCCGGCTTCCCCGGCAGCCCAATCTGGAGAAGCTGCGCCACCGCCTCCCTGCACCCAAAGCATCACACCAGGGCCGTGTTCCACCACCAGACCACTGCCGGCGCGCTCCATGGCGCGTCGACATCCAAACACGTGGCCGCAGGTGCGCATTTGTTACCGTTCGCCAGCGGCGGGACACGAAGCGAAGATAGCGCACTCCCGCACCGCCACCGTCCCACTTCGACGCTCGAACGCGGCCGGCGGCGGCGCGTCCGGCGCCCATCCATCTCGCGGCGCCGCGCCGGAAGTGCCGCGCCTCGGCGCGCCGCGGCGCGCGCGTGTCCGCCGCCGGCGCGCGCGCCTTCTCCCGGCGTCGATCGGTCACCGCCGTCCCGTTCACGGATGGATGCCGGGCCAGGCGCATGGCTATACAGGCTCGGCCCGTTAATTGATGGCTCGGCATGACTTCGGGGCGCGGCCCGTCGGGTGACGCTTCCAGCGCGGCCTCGCCGGCGCCGCTTGTCGAACGACGCATCCTGCGCAAGTACATGGGTGTCGAATGACACATTGGGTACGGGTACGTGGGTGTGACTTGTCGAACACACCAGATACAGGTATCTGGGTGCGGCTTGTTGAATAACACGGCCGGTACATGTACTCGGGTGTGGTTTGTCGAACGGCACAGCAGGTACAAGTACACTGGGACAGTTTGCCTGGTTACTACTGCAGCCGGTACAAGGTGCACTGGGGCGGCTTGCCGAGTGACTTGCTGAGGATGCGAGGGATACTGGGCACACGGGTACACGAAACACTGGGGACACCAGGTACACGGGGGCGGCTTGCCGGCTGACACACCTGGAGCAGACACGCGGGAACGACTCGCCCAATGGCAGCTGGGTACATAGATAGGGGTGTGGCTTATGGAGTGGCATCCACGCAGGGCCCGCGGGCGTGCCCTGTCACTTGACGTCTCTGGGTCACAGGGCTGGCGAGCCGGTCAGCGGCAGTTGTCTGAAAACATGCCAAAGACCTGCTTGACCGACGTCGCATTGATTTATGAAGACCGCAGTAATTATCAGCTATGCACTGGCGTGTTGCTTTCCAAAAGTGGTTGGAGACGGAACAGTAATTTTTGTTTGGTCCATTCGCTCGACGCATCATAAAAGATATATGCTAATTTAAAGGCATAGAAATGGTTGGAGTCTTTGTTCTCAGAGTGGCATCAAGTAACTGCTTAGGCCGGCTGCCATTGGTGCGCAAACTGTGGATGTTACTGCTTTAGTTGGTGATCCTATTTGGGTGAGAAAGAGCGAAGCGAATCCAGAGCGCCGTCTTTGGGGTCAACGTCGGCTTGGGAAGGTGAAGTGAAACAGGTGTCCTGATTTTCGAAATCTCGTCGGATTTCAGTTTCCTTTTATCTCGAGGTGTGTTCCAAAACCAAGTTGCCAATCAAAAAGCGACATAGACCTTCTCAAAAACCCATAAGTGTGTCATTTTTGCCAGACTCTGGCCATCTTGGGGGTAGGACCTGGTCGGCGTCCCCCTCCCCCCCCCCTTCTCGGATCCACCTCGGTGGTGAAATGATATGCAATGAGTCAGAGGTGACAGTTACGGATGAGAGCAAAAGTCTCTCCGTTCCTTTTCCCTAATCTCTTTTTTCCCTGTCGTCTCACTCTCTCTCTCTCTCCTTCTCTCTCCCTCTCTCTCTACCCGCCCCCTCTCCATCCTCTCTTTCTCTCTCGAGCTCTTTGTTACGCTTTGCTCGTATGTCGCATAGGTCGCTCTGGATGACGCTGCTTCCTGTTCATTGTTAGACCCGCTCCTTTCCATTCACGCTTATCCAAGGCGAAACCTGATGAATGAAGTGTGCATTTCATATTTGGCTACATCTTGCATTTTCGTGCGTGTGTGTCATCAGGGATTTACCGCGCACTCAGCTGCTAAGGCCTTATGGCGTCGCCTACCTCTCACCCTGGCAGGAAGTGTGGGCACCGCGCGGAATCGCACCTCGCGTCTCTGGTTCCCCAGACGCGCAGCTTAACCACTACACACCTGTACCACAAATAAGCGTGGCTCGTGTGTGGAAACTTCCTTTCATTCTCGTAGAGTGTACCTTGATGAAATGTCCGCACGAAGAACTTCACGAAACACGTCTCGCCCTAACTCTCCGTGTGCACAAGCTCCCTGTCCTCTGATTGCGTCACATATCCTTCAGCTGATAATGGGGCTTTGCCATGCCACCGCCGAGAACACTGTTCCCATTTAACGCGTCAGCCTCCTTATTCGATCTGTCTACCCGGCCGGCCCTTCCGTTACCTGCTGGAACTCGACTCAAGGCCGGCTTCTAACGCACTGTCCTCGCCCTATGGACCGTTATCCGCTAGAACTCGACTCAAGGCCGGCTTCTAACGCACTGTCCTCGCCCTATGGACCGTTACCTGCTGGAACTCGACCCAAGGCCGGCTTCTAACGCACTGTCATTGCCCTATGGACCGTTACCTGCTAGAACTCGACTCAAGGCCGGCTTCTAACGCACTGTCCTCGCCCTATGGACCGTTACCTGCTAGAACTCGACTCAAGGCCGGCTTCTAACGCGCTGTCCTCGCCCCATGGACCGTTACCTGCTAGAACTCGACTCAAGGCCGGCTTCTGACGCACTGTCCTCGCCCTATGAACCGTTACCTGTTAGAACTCGACTCAAGGCCGGCTCCTAACGCACTGTCCTCGCCCCATGGACCGTTACCAGCTGGAACTCGACTCAAGGCCGGCTTCTAACGCGCTGTCCTCGCCCTATGGACCGTTACCTGCTAGAACTCGACTCAAGGCCGGCTTCTAACGCGCTGTCCTCGCCCTATGGACCGTTACCTGCTGGAACTCGACTCAAG